TGGTCAGCTTGTGAAATGTGCCATCGTGCAGAAGAAAAACGTTGTACTGAGCAATGGGAAGGCCACCTGATCACCAACCAAAACAACATTTAGTCCAGCATCTTAATCTGTAGATTAAAAAGATCCAATAAGCTACCAGTATCGAGCGGTTCTTGTAGCTCTAGTTTAACCGCTCCCCCTGCAGTGACCACGCCAGAGTGGAGATTTAGTGATATAGCTAAGAAAACTTAAACCAATTGGTTTACCTGTCACGCCAGCTACCGATGGCAATAGCGACTTGCTTGGACTCGTTCTATCTCCCGTTCTAACTGAAAGAGGGGGACTGAAGCCACTCCTCAGACCAGTTTTGCTGATGACTTCAAGACGGAAGACGTAGCCAGTGTTGTGACGGAGTTTGTAGATCGTTGCTGCCGATCCATTAAACCGATAAAATGACGTTGTGAAAGAGGTAAAAGAGTCATCACGTTGCTCGATTATGAGCACTGATGATAAGTCCTTGATAGCCAAACGTGTGATGTCATCGACGACAAGTTCCACACTTCCACCTGAACGAGATAGCAGTCTAGAGCACTGTGGGACTTGTGGGGCACGATTTCGATACGCGATTACCAAGGCAAGTGGATTGCTCTGAGGCCCCACACCAAGTGCATTCTCTGCTTGCACAGTTATGTTACAACCCGTCGGAATTTGCGCAATGCTTAGTGCGAGCGATAGTGTATCTCCATCCGTGGTAGCAGCTACTTGATTACCATTCACAAAGACAACATACTTAACGATTTTGGACCCTCCGTCATCATCTACCGGGCTCCAGTAAATCTCAAGTTGCCAATCAGAGAGCTCCGCAGCATTGACATAATCCACTTTACCCGGCACGGTTACGTTGGACGTACTAGCAGTTAGGGGCTTTGTGATATCGTACGCCTCCCCCTCATCAGTTAGAAACTCAACAGATATTTCGTACTTTGTAGTTGCCGAGAGACCACCGACACCAATTGGGCCTTTGCCATACAGACTCGCCACACTATCAGTCGTGTTGGATCCACATGTTCTCCCACTTCCATCGCCACAGTATTTATCGCAAATGTGAGGGCCAGACCCTTCACCAGCAGTAAATTCGGAAAGCGTGTAAAAGCAATTTCCGTCTCCACTCATTCCAAAATTGTGAATTTGTCGCGAATTTGATGCACGTACGTTCTGTACAATAAAGTCGACATGGTTTCCTTCAACGCCAGACGAGTACCAGTGGGTCTTGTGGGCAGCATTGAAAGGTAAGACAAGAATCAGATCAGAGTGTGCGATATTCTTCTGGTACAAAGCAAACACATCTGCTGGCTCGCGCGCTGTTTTCCAGATGCGAATCTTTCAAAAAATAACACCGATACGTGAGAATCCAATAGTGTATCTGCAAACAATACAGGTCTAAATGTCATACCTCGTCCATTGCGCCTTGCAAGACACTGGTTTCAGGTCGAATATCCATCGTATCTGAAGCAAACAAACGTGTAGTATAGCGATGTTAGAAATCACTGTGCCTACTCGAAGTGTCCACGCTCATACCTCGTCCGAGTTGAAGGTAGGCATATGCAGGAGCTTTGCAGTTTTCCTTGCTAAGTCGACCAGTCGCCATTTCAACTCCGTTCATCAAGACTGTCACCTCATGGCTTGCACTAAATATCACTGCTAGATGTGTCCACGTCTGAAGTGGAAGTCCACGGGGTACACGAAGCTCGTTTTGACAGCGCGATATGAGCAAATAGCTGTTTAACGTAATGCTCAGGCTTCCATCTTGAGAGCCATAAAGTAGCAAGAGCTGCTGATCACTGGAACTTAGACTCAAGTGTTCCAAATACACCCAGAACTCGATCGTGAACGCTTCGTCGATCGAAAGAGAAACCATTTGCGCACTGCGCACAATCGATTCGGACGTAAATCGAAGTTGAGTTTCGACAGCGGTACACAACTTTCTGCACTGACCTAGACTTGTCAATGATATTCCTGAACTGTCATTGCACGGATACATTGTCGTGGTAGGCATACAGCCACGATACTGAAGTCCGTCACCTTTGATGAAGCAATAAACCGTCAGGAAACCGAGTGCAGATACAATAAAACTAAGATCGTACCTGCGAAGCGTAGTGCTGGTGGTCCGGCACTGCCCGCCTGCTTCACATGTGCGCGAAGTAGTACGGGATCAGAGATAGATGGTGCTGTGTTGACTTCGATGTAGATCATACCGCCTGTAGCACGGACAAACTCGATGTCTCCCACTTTACTCTCTCGTTTGTAGTCTCGAAGCGATATTGATTTCAAGTAAAGCGTGCTATCCACGGGAACCACACCACGAAAAACAATTTCAGCTGTTGAAGCGTACGAAAGACCAATGAAGGCATCGACATATTTCCACTGGCCTGGGGAAGCAGCGACAGACTCACTCGACCACACTTGTCGGATCTCTGTTGTATTCAAAATTACGTCCGTCCTGATACTAGAGAATTCTGTGCGCAAGAAAATCGAAACATAAAAGTTAAAATTTAATTTATTTTAGCAGATCAATTACAGCGTACCTGATGACATTTGATATGCGAATGAAAGTGTGACATTACCCTCAAGTTGTGTTGAGAGACTTCGGTACACAGCCTCACCAGCTGTCACAGGTTTTTCCAGTGGTTCACTTTCCGGTATCCATTCGATTTCTACTTGACGAATGGTTGAGGACTCGACATTAAGTTCTGAAAAGGGAATCGCATTTTCCACAAAGCCGATCGAGGAGACGCTAATAGCGAGCTGCAGAATTCCCGAGAAAATACTGCTCGGGGTGATCGAAAGGACAACGCGGTTAGCAGAATCCATAGCGTCATCACGCTGAACGAGGAGAAAGTAGCGCTGATCGTCTGCTGAAGGAAAGCACTGGACACCATCGCGCTTGATGATAACAGCATCATCCGTCGTGTTCACAGCAACAGCAAGAGAAATGTATTCAATTTCAGAATTCGACGTAGCCATCGTTGGTATGGTAATTTGAGCTGTAGATCCTTGGAGAACTTTTCGACTGAACGAGTACGGAGCAGCAAACAAAGGCTGGGAAAATGATGGTAACACCGATACCACATAGTTTTCCGCACAATAACATCCAGAATCAGTGTTGCCAACGCTGTCCCACTCCACAATTACGTCGACAAGAAAGGTTCCATACTGATGTGGAGTGAAGGAATTTCTAGCGACACTTCCAGCATCTAACGTGATGAATGAAGCTGTAGAATTATAAAATTCAACACGATAAGCAGGGGCATCGTCAACCAAGAAGCTACCAACTTTAGGTAACATGGCATTATCCAGAACGAATGAGATACTTTTCAAATGCTGCGAGTCGACCAACCTGTCACCGAGAACCATAGACGCAAGCGAAGAAATTACAATCTCCTTTTTCTTCCCTTTACGTAAGACGAGAGGTCCACCATTCCTCTCCGTCAGCTCACAAAAGTGGAGATTATACGACACGAGGGTCGATTCACTAATTGTCCATGAAGTGCTGTCAACACCTTGCACGAATCGAGATATAGTCACCTCTGCGGCGACTGGAGAGTTTTGATCCTGACGTTCAGTGATTGTTATTCCACTAAAAGATGCGCTAGACTTGGCGTCTTTCAGGAGAAAAGAACATTCTTCGTTTGTTGAATTGGCAGAACCCACTGGTTGAACATGTAAAGAAGAACAATTCGCGATCATTATTTCCACACTCGCGTTTAAATAATCTCCTGAGTAGTTCAAAATCAATTCCAGGACCTCCCCGGTTGGGATATTGTGAGCTCCAAGAAGAATTTGGGTTGGCATTGATAAATCAATACGAGGAATCACACTCCAGCTGAACGGAATAATTCCTACAGCTAACACGTTGTCGTCAGCATTTGCCATAACAACGCGCATCTCACCGCGGACGCTCTTAGCATTGGGCAGCAGCTTGATCGACAAGGTTTCGTGACATGGGTGTCGGATAACTGGATTGCGAATGGCCGCTACCTTTTGGACACCTGTCGATAGTGTTTCCAGTGAATAAATCGCATTAAATTTCGAAAAGATCGTCACACTCGTCTCACAAAACGTTGCACTGGTTCCTGCTATGTTGGGTAGAAGGTCTGAAGCCAATAGACGAAAGGGGTCATCCTCTTGCAGGTCGATAACCAACGGTAGTAATTCCACAACGACAACGTCAGAATTATACGTATCTAGATTTCCCAGCCGTCGAGAGTTCTGTGTACCAATTCCAGCTGTTCCTTCACCGGCAGTGTCTGCCCTCGATAATAGCAATTTGATTTCGTTCTTCAGGTCCGAATTTTGTATCTGTGGATCGCTCTGGATGGTCACAAAATACGTCTTTGAGTACGTCTTTATACTTCCGTCCACCATAACGTCCACTGTAACCGTGAAGTCACTTTCCCCAATAAAGTCAGGTTTGATAAATATCTCTAGCAACGCATCACGACGGCGTATTCTCCAGCGTGTCACTAATATGCCACCCTCGACTTGTTCTCTTGACGAAGCACCACTTATCCGCGCGTATTCAAACGCACACGGATTGCTCCACCTTACTCCGACTGACATTGGATCAGAAAATTCGCTTCCCCGTTGGATTTGGTTAAAAGCCTCAAGCCAATCCTTGACTAGGACCTCCACAGGCTCCGTCACCACGGCATCTTGTGGCAGGATAACACTAAGATACTCGCTACCCAGATCACCACTCACAGTTAAAGATGAGAGCGGCTTAGGTTGCGAAAGACTCTCGGGCTCAGATAAACGTCGAGATGATGACGTGGGGGCCGATTTGGCTGCCACAATCGATTCAACCCCCTCTTCCGCTAGAAAAAGCACGTCTGAGCTCCGTTGAAGGTCGGCATGGTACCCACAACGCCCTACTGAATTAAACACGCACTGGCCTTTAGCGGCGTCTAGTTGTCACCAGAAACATAACGTTAGTTAGTCAGCGTCGCTCATTGTTTGGACAGCTACTGACCATTTAAAACCTTAGTCGCAGGAACAAAATCCAGTGACACGATCCCAGAATTTACTGCGGCTTCATTACCCACGAATGAAATCGATCCAGGTGTAGGAGGTGAAAATATCGTAGGTGGCAAGTCATTCACTGCGGTCTGCACTTCGAATATCCGAAGGGATATGCTAGCAGTAGCTTCAATCTGTTTTAGCGTCGCCAAGCAACAATTAGTGAGCTACAACATATCATCGTTGCTGTAGTATCATTTACCTTGACAGTCTTGACTTCCGCTTGATTATCCAATGGAAGCGTCACCTTGGAAATCTTCTTCCGGAGAATTTCATTCGACAGTTCTGTCTTTTTCAGCACAACTTTCTCTTCATCAAACAAAGTTACATAAAGCGATCCTGTTGACGCAGTTGAAAACCTTCGATCGGTAACGAGATACACATCAACGACTAAAGGTTTGCAGTCAACAAAAATCTTGGAAATCCATATAACACAAGGTAAACGTACCATTACAGAGGTCCCATGCGCGGTTCAATACGCCACCCGCACAGGAATCGGACGGCTCTATTGCACACCCGAAGGTGGAGTTCGTCTGGTAGCACGAAACAGGCGAGTCTGCGCCCGTCAAGATTGTAGGTAGACACACACATCCTGACCGCGAAAGGACTTGGCCTTGAGCTATCGTGGAGCCAGGATTGATGCAGCACCAACACACCAACGACACGAGTAGGTGCCAGAAGACTACCCACAGCAGCTTCTTACAGTCAGCTTGGCGAAGCATTTGATTGAGGATGAGCTTCGGTGAAGCTTCAGCCGAGAAGCGTGTCAAAGGTCGGGGGATCTTCAGGCTCAGGTCGTCGCAACTCAACGGACGTGCGGGATCACCCGGTAAGAAAACGTGGAAATCATCAGGCATACTTCGTAAATTACGAAGTGTAATACAATATTTTCACAAATGACGTTTGATTTTAGTTGCCTTAGAAAGTAATGTTTGTCGGTTTAGTTACTACTAGCTTTCGCTTGGTATCGCGCGCTTGAATTGTTCGCAGCCGCATACCTGCCTCGTCATATAGGTACGTCATGTTTCGCCACGCTCGACTGACCCGAACAGTAAAATGTAAAATTGAAGGCTCTTGTCTGCCAGCTCGGTATAAGGAAAAAATAAAGTTCGAAGCAGGAAATGGAGACGAGGTTGCTGTTAGTGACGCCGCTGAAACGCGTCGGTGCATTCGTCAGGCTGAAACAATGACGCCATGGTAGCCTTGTTTCCTTGCCAAGGACTCCTTGGAAAGGGTACCAAGCAGTTGGACAACGAGTTAATGAGGTCAGCTTCAGAAGCGACACGTTTTGCTCTTCGATCGAAGATGTCTTCATTTTCATACGAATGGAAGAACATCAGCCACGGATTCCAAGCGTTCAACGCCTCCAAAATAAACCCTAGTTCGTTGCTACCGCAACCATGCAGAGCCATTACGACACTGTATTCATAATTCCCATCGCCGCGTTCGCTGGCAATTCCGCCTGCTCGAATCTGACGCATTCCGTCAAGGTAAGGAAGGCGTCCTCACTCCTCGACTACATGGCTGCATAGACTCGCGACGCTCTTCGTCTCAAGAGCCAAAACGCCTCAAGTTGCTGGTCAGATTCCCGTCCTCGATTCAGTTTCCGTATTCCGTTCTACTACTGGCGACTATGTTCTATCCTTCCAAAGTATGTTAGGGTGTCGGGTCGTTATCTTTTATGCGTGGGCACTGTACAGCGCAAGTTGAAGTGTGCAGTCCAATCAGATGAAGCTGTGCTGTACTGAACGTTGGCATGAGTCAACCTGGTCGGAATGCTCCGTTGTGCGCGTTGGTGCGTTCAGAGCCAACATGAGTTGACCTGGAGCCATGTAAAGACGTTCGAAATCAGCTTTGGTCATTGGCGTCATGGGCTGTCTCGGTGTCGACGTATTGGTTCAGGTATTACACATTTTCAGCAACGCGCTGGATAATATTCATCGGATATGGTCGGGCGGATACTTGCGCTTGATCAACCTCCCAACCGGGGAAGGGTACGTCAGTGAAAATAGAAGAGAAGACGCTCAGCCACCGCACACTAGCCGTTCGTACTAAATAGAGTTCAGGCGACTCGACTGGTCTGGGCTGTTACGTTCGACGAGAAACGCCAGAGGTTCGAGACCGAAACTCGCTCAGTTTCGCATTTGAGCCTCCACGCGACAACCCCGGACGCAAAAAAGCACTATATGCGCTGCTTCTGTCTACTCTTGACTACGATCCAGTAGACAATTTAATAAGTGCTCGATCAAATACACACAAATACCATGACGGACTACAGCTCGTCAATTGGGTCGCCTCTTGCCGGGACCCCATTGACCCCTCGCTCGCTCTCCAGCTTTGGGTCCTCGCACGGATCGGACGGGACCGATGACAGTGACGCCGATCCGACCGACGAGGCGGAGACAATGTGCATCAAGGACCGTGAACGCCTCACGACAGTAGCCAAGCGCATGATCGAGAGTCTCCTGGAAGCCACAGATCTACTCGGGGGAATTCCGTGGACTTTGGTCCACGAGAAGCACGGGATCTCACTTTTCCGCGCCGACGCCTCTAGTGCCGCCACTAATGTTCCCTGCAACGTTCACGCAGTATGCAAGTTCGCCTGTGACATCGAAGACGTCGCTGCGTCGCTCATCACGCCTACCACGGCCTCGTTCAAGCGGATGATGGGAATGTTGTCTTCCGATTTCCTTGATGGTGCAGTGGTGCAAAACATTGTAGAGCCTACACCGACCAACCCCTACCGCTACGTGGGTCTCAAGTGGGCCGCCTTCAAAAGCTCAGGTCCGTTCGCCAAGGATCGCGACCTTCTTATGCTGGAGTACGTCGATATGATCGAGGACGCACAGGGACAGATGACAGCTTTCCGCATCATGGAATCCGTGGACACCCCAGCGGGGTTTTCCAAGCTCGCTGAGTCGCCCAAGTACACGCGCGATCTGGTGCCTCTTATTGGCTTCATGTATCACTCGACCAAGCGAGCGGGCGAACTGCGCATGACGTACACGTGCAACTTCGACAAGAACGGCGACCTTCCTGCCTGGGTAGCCAATTCGGCCATCCAGTCGCATGTAGAAAAGTGCATCAATGGCATTCTCAAATACACCGAGAGCTTCCGTGTGGGCCGGGAGGAGATCGTGCTGCCTCAGCAAGTGGTGCCCATGGGCGAGCAGGATCATTGTCGGATCTGCTCCAAGAAGTTCTGTGTGCGACGCCGTCGCTACAACTGCCTCAAGTGTGGCGACGTGTGTTGCAGTTCGTGCAGTTCTGTTCGTAGTACCCATGTGCCGGAGCTCGGCGAACGCCAGCTTCGTGTCTGCACAGCGTGCGTTATTAAAGCGCGTCGAACATCGCGAAACACTGCCGGCTGTGTGGAACAATCAGCAGCTCCGTCGCTCAGCTCAGCCAGCTCTGCCAGCACGAACCAGCTCTTTGTGGACACCAAGCGTACCCTTGGCCGAGCACAGAGCTTTACGGTCACCAGCGGGCAAGTCAAGGAGGAGACGGCGAAGCGCCGATCGTACGACAATCTGCTCGACCCCGTACGCTCTCGACTCATCGAGTACAAGACATTCTCGTCGGGATCCGAGGACATTCACGCCGCTACTACGGGCTCGTCTATCGGTGTGCCCAAGGCCAGCTTTCCAAGTCGCTCTTTTAGCGACGGGCTCGTCATGCGCAACAAGGCCCTCTTTGCTGCTAAGCGCCGTGGCAGTCCTGCAGACCTGGCCATCTCGATAGAAGCGTTCCGCCTGCACCAAATGCGCATGGGCAATGCCGAACGACAGCCCGAGGACGGCTCGGAAGACAATGACCACACGGACGACGAGTCAACCACATCAAGCTCGTCCGTGTCGCCCACATACGCTATTAGGAGGTCGTCACCGCTCCACGCGTCCCGCTCTAGCCGTTCACGTGTTCCGCCCAAATGCGAGGGCAACCAAGAGCTTTTAGTAGCTGGCGAAGAAAAGTTCGAGTTTAACGAGGCGATGGCTCGCGCCAACAACATTATCGTTGCCGCTAACTACGCCAACAATCTGGCCCAGCAAGCTCGGAAGATATCGCACAACCGCGTGGTGGCGCTACAACAGGAGTACGAGCTCATGGCGCCCATGACTCGGGACGGTAACAGCAAGAGTCCAGTGGTGCGTCGCCGACCTCGCCACCGCCGTCACGGCAGCGACTTCGAAGCGGCCCCGGGCGCCGGAGCCGTGCTGTACTCTAGCTGAAGGCGCTGTCCACATCAACCTGTTGGAAGAAATATGACGACAGTGACGAAGAAAACAAGAAACCGAGCGGCCGACCGTGAACTAGTTATTGGTCAAGTACATAAGTGTAGAAGAATATGCGCGGCCGCAGGTAAGCAGATGTCAGTATATGGAAGAGAAGCATGTACACGCGCGTGGAGACGAAGGAGCCACGACCTCAGTGAACTTGCATTTTTAAGTATTGTAGGAAGCTTCAACATGGGAATTGAGCAGCCAGTATTTAAGTCACCCCTAACTTTACAGTGTTCCACCGTAAACTGTTCTTACCAAGGCAACACTCAGACCTCCTGTTCATCACTGTTTGCGGCACAAGTTCGCATCCAAACTCGCGATGCTGTGGCCCATACACCCACCAACATACCAAGCGAAAATGTGGATATCCCAGGCAGCTACTCTCCCACCTTTTCAGAGGAAATTTTGAGGCGTTGGCAGGAAGGAGCATTCACGCAAGAGGGGCCAAGCATGAATGGCAAATGTGTGTTGCGTTGTTGGGCGTTTACATATTCAGCCGGTTTTAGAGGACTCGCATAGCTTACGAGACTGTTCCTAGAGCTAAGCTACAAGATGCCAGCTGGGTTCTAATTCACTGCGCAGCGAGCCGAAATAAAAGAAAAAAACAAGAGCGAGGCAGCGCAGCTTCTACCGCTTAAGAGGAAATATAGTGATCCTCTCGCCGCTCTGTGTGTGTCCTCTTTCGTTGCTGTGCTTAGCGCTTACTGCTGGGGCTTGCCGTTGTACAAGCTCTTAGCGTAGTCAGGGAAGCGAATGAACGGAGGGTACTCGTTGTTGCCCTTGCCATCCATGTACACGTCCTCGAAGGCCGCGGACGAGGCGGGCTTGCCGGAGGCCTTGGCCTCCTTGGTGGCCTTGACAACCTCGGCACGCACCTTCTTCTCCAGCTCCTTGATCTCGTCAGCCGTGGCGAACTCAGCCTCAATCATGCGCTTCTTTACCAGCTCAATGGGGTCGCGCGAGGCACGCATCTGCGAAATTTCGTCACGGTTACGGTACGTCACACCAGGGTCCGACATCGAGTGACCGTGGTAACGGTACGTGTTCATCTCGACGAAAATCGGACCATTGCCCTCACCGCACCACTTCTTCAGGAACTTGGTGCACTCACGCACAGCGAGCACATCGTTACCGTCGCACTTAATACCGGGGATCTTGTTGCCCATGGTGTAGTAGTCCGTGTTGTTGGTCGAACGCTGAATAGACGTACCCATACCGTAGTGGTTGTTCTCAATGCAGAAAATCACCGGCAGCTTCCACAGAGCGGCCATGTTGGCAGCCTCGAACACCTGACCCTGGTTAGCGGCACCGTCACCGAACATGGTGATGGCGCAGGGCATAGGGCCGTCGCCCTTGTGGTTGTACTTGCTGGCGAAGGCCAGACCGGCGCCCACGGGCACCTGAGCACCGACGATACCCTGTCCACCGTAGAAGTTGCTCTCCTTCTTGTAGAAATGCATGGAGCCACCCTTGCCGCCAGTGGCACCGGCAGACATACCGAACAGCTCGGCCAGAATGTCCTTAACCTCGGCACCACGAGCGAGCATGATACAGTGGTTACGGTACGACGTGATCCACGAGTCCTTGCGGTCCAGAGCAGCCTCCACACCGGTGGCCACGGCCTCCTGGCCGTCGTACAAGTGGCAGAAACCGCGGATGGTACGGGCCTTGTACTCGTTATCGTTGGTGATCTCCATACGACGCATCTTGTACATGAGCTCATAGTAGCCCAGCATCTCCTCGCGGTTGGTCACGGCGAATTCGGCCGGGCCTTCCACGAGACCTGCAATTTAAAAGTAAAAAAATGATCATCACTCTGCATTAGAGAAGAATTGCTGTAGATTCAGACCGTTGACGACGTACGGTGCAGCTCAAAAGGCGTGGAGAACTCAAACTTAGCCTCGCCAGAGGCATTGGCGGCGGCGCTGAAGGCGCGCGTGGCAGGCGCGGCGGTGCGGGCCAGCGCTGCGGAGCGGCGAAGCATCATCATCTCGGCTGACTACTTTCTGCTTGGAGGAGGATTGGAGAGTGAGTCCAAGCAGCGCTCACCTCGGCCGCAAAACAGCGCAGGACCCGGAATTCGCTTAGATGCGATTTCCTCTCTTTCTCGACCAATGACGTCGCCGGATCATATAATCCTCAAAGAGAAACTAAAATGATGGATAAAGCTGCTTCCGACGTCATAGCGTAGCAGTAGCGAGCGATGCCGCTCAAAGGAGAGTATTGCTGCAATCATTGCACTTCTAAGTGGATATATTGAGCAGCGCACGCTGTAAGTGGCAGTAGAGCCATATATACAGCAGCGCACGCAGTAGCGATGCCGCCGATGATCGCAGCGGCAAAGCTTGGCCACGACGACGATGGGAAGATCGATTAGACTTGCTTTTTGTGAAATGATCTGCATAGACGCTTCTTGTAGCGATTGGGTGAAAACAACGTTGCTATCCATCATGTTTTCCATCCAATCCTGCGTCGATTTTAAAGGAGACATCGATTCCAGGACACCATCCCTTAAAACGTGTCCTGAATTTGATGTCCCGTTTTCAAGACCCGATGCCCTCCACGAAGCGCAAGGCCGAAAATGGCGATGCCTCGGCCTCGAACGCCAAGCGCCGCAAATGCCCGTACTTGGACACGGTGAACCACCAGCTACTAGACTTCGACTTTGAGAAGGTTTGCTCCATCAGCTTATCGGATCAAAACGTCTACGCCTGTCTCGTATGCGGCAAATACTTTCAAGGTCGCGGTCGCAATACTCACGCCTTCACGCACTCAGTGCAAAGCAGCCATCACGTGTTTATTAATCTGCAAACGGACCGCATCTACTGTCTTCCGGACAATTACGAGGTGGTGGACAACACCCTCAAGCCCGTGCAGGACGCACTGCGTCCGAGATTCGAGGAAACGCAGATCGCCCAGCTGGACCAGAACCGCATCTTGGCTCAAGACGCCTTCGGTGTCTCCTACCTGCCTGGCTTCATCGGCCTGAACAACTTAAAGCACACAGACTACATCAATGTGGTTGTACAGGCGCTGGCTCACGTGCCACCGCTAAGGGATTTCTTTCTGGCTAACAAAATGGGCAAAGTCAAGTCCAAGCTGGTGTTGCGCTTTGGAGAGCTGCTGCGCAAAATGTGGAGCCCACACAACTTCAAGAACACGGTGCGTATTTAGCAAAGGGGGCTTTGTGATGTAGCTGATGTGGTGAAAATATTGTATTTGAAACAGATTAGTCCACATGAGCTGGTGCAGGAGATCTCGGTGAGCAGCAAGAAGAGGTTCCATGTCGGGACACAAAATGAGAGTGTTGATCTCTTGGCGTGGCTGTTGAACGAGTTACACAGGGTGTGTTTCAGCATGGGCAATATTATCCTTAATGTGTTGATTCTTAGGAGATATGGGGTGTTGCTTTGTAGGGACTTGGGGGAACGCACAAGCCAGGGAGCAGCATCATTCACAAGTGTTTTCAGGGTTTTGTGGAGGTGACGACGGATGACGAAACGAAAGTTGCGTCATCGGATCCAGCAGAACGCGAATCAGCTGTCTCCACAACAGTGTCTCCATTTTTGTACGTCCACTAGCACAAGAATTTGTTTTGTTTTGTTGGTGCCATTAACCATATCGATTTACGCGTACTCTAGGATGATGGCGCTGGACCTGCCGTCGACGCCGCTGTTTAAGGATTCTCAAGGTGGAAACATCATCCCTCAGGTGAGCGAAGTTAATGTGGCTATTGTATCGGCAATGCCTATGTTAACGCATCTGGTTGATGCTGTGGGGTAGATCCCGCTGTTTACAGTGCTGGAGAAATACAATGGCTCTCATATAACACATGTTCTTCAAGGCTCTCACCGGCTGAAAAAGACGTACCGGATCGACTCGCTGCCAGCATTCCTCATCTTCCACGTCAAGCGGTTCACGCGTAACAACTTCTTCATCGAGAAGAACCCGACGATTGTTAACTTTCCTGTCAAGAACCTGGAACTACGAGATTATCTCAAACTGGACCAAAGTCTCCCGTCCGAGGAGGAGCTTCGCGAAAAGTCAATCTCTGAACTGCGATCTCTTCTACGCAAACACAACCAGTCAACTGAGGTGCGATCACTGCTTTTTAGGTCTGTATGACCGTATGGATTAGATTTAATGTGGACTTCTTTGTGGTTTGTTATGATAGGATTGCGTTGAAAAGTCAGACCTAGTCGAAAAGATCTTGCGAGTCACGCAGCCGTGCACCAAGTGCGTCAATAATGCTGCGGTACTATTCGTGGTAGCCCTTACTCACTCTTTTATTATGTTACTGTAGATTCAACTTGGTGGCCAATATCTGTCACGACAGTCCAGTGACTACAGGTCAGGAGGCAGCGCTCCAAACGAATCCTCTAACGGAAGGCAGCTATCGTGTCCACGTCCAGAATAGAGTACGTGGCTTGAGAACCTGTGCTTGCAATATCTGGCAAAAAGATTGACGATATACTGTGTTCGTCTGTTATAGGCAACTGAGCAGTGGTATGAAATCCAAGATCTGCATGTGCAGGAAACAATGCCACAGCTAATCGGTGTGTCCGAGTCGTACTTGATGATTTACGAGCGGAAGGCATAAACGAATACTCGAGAAATAGGCTCCTCCATCTGTGCTCGTCATGCTGCCGATACTCCGTATTGTTCATTCCACGCAACCAGGTCCTGTATCGTTGTCGAGGACACGCTTGGACGTACCCGTGTGAGGGCTACCTGAAAGTCAGAAGCGTTGATTCCTCGTACATCCTCGGCTTTGACGTTCGCCACTTTCGCTCCAAGCTCGCGAATTGGACCCAAAGCAGCGTCCTTACATACAGCCTTAAGATCGCTTCCAGAGTATCCTTCCGTAACCTTCACTATGAGTTTGAAATCCCTGGATGATAAGGAGAATTTCTGGCTCCTTAGTAAATGCCGGATCAGCCCTTCACGAGAAGAAGGATCCGGCAGAGGCACTGCAAACGACGTTCGTCAGAGTACATGTACTGTACAGTTAGACGTTTTGACTGCGATATTTGTTTCCACTCCAACATGACGTACCGTAAATGCGCTTCTCCAGGCGGCGAACGATGGCTTCGTCGAGCTCTTGGGGAAGGTTCGTTGCTCCCATGACGAGAACTCGATCTTCCTGTGATGACGCAGCTCCATCAAGCTCGATGAAAAACTACAACAGCAGACGACAGTCAGTTGGTTTTTGTGTTAATGGTTTAGAGCTTCGTATCGTACCTGGTTCTTGATTCTTCTGCTTGCGTCGTTCTCGGATGCTGATCTTGTCGACAGCAAGGCGTCGATTTCATCCATGAAGACTACAGATGGCTGCAATTCTCGAGCCATCTCGAACAGCGCTCTAACCAACTTCTCGCCTTCACCCACCCACTTGGACGTCAAGGACGACGCAGAAATGCTACAGCAAGAAGCTCTGAGTATGATTTTCATGGCCATACTTTAGCCAACATTCAATACGCTCGTACTTGAAAAAAGTTGCTTTAGCCTCCGTCGCGACAGCTTTTGCAAGTAACGTTTTTCCTAATTGAAGCATTGAAAGGTACAGTAAATCTTCATGAGTTTACACTGCGCAGTTGAAAACAGCTTTGTACTGCACGCATTTGTTACCTGTGCCTGGAGGTCCGAACAGCAGCACACCTCGAGGTGGCGCCCTCAACCCCGTGAATAAGTCTGGACGCAGCGTAGGCAAAATGACAGCCTCCTACTTGCACACCACACGATTAATAAGTCTGACCAACATCAACAATGTTTTTACGCTAAACCTGTAGAATCTGCTTTGCAACGTCCAAACCGGCAATATCAGTCCAGTGCACTCCCGGTGAGTGATCCAGCACCTCATCAAGAATTGTATGAGCGTGTTCCGCATGCTGCTTCGAGTACCCTCCCCGCTGCTCCTGTCAGCATCAGATAAAGACAGCACGACACCGTCAAACTCTCCCTCTTTTCATCATATTTTGTCTGCAGCCTCCTAACCTGACGACCGCTCGTAGCACGAGCATTACTCCCTTGAGTACTCGGTACTGACGTGTTCTGCATATTGCAACTTATCAGTATCAGTAAAAAGAAATCAACCCACGAGCATTTATTGTCGTGAAGTAAAAGCGGACCTGTGTTTGCTGCGTACGCGCTTGATCCGCCATCCAGTCCTTGATGTACTCGGCGCGCAGCATATACTCGTTAATTTTTAGGCGCGATTGTGTCTTTGCCTCTTCATTTGGTAGCTCTACATTCAGTTAAAGACGCAAAAGCCTCAAGACAGGTCTAGCAGACCGTTGTTCCCCCACTTCAACGTACCCGCCATCTGCGCCATCATCTTCTCGATGCCCGACGCATACAGCTCCACAGCCTCCGCATACTTCCCTGCTTTATCCGCCGCCACTGCTTCCTCTATGATCTTTTGGATAGCATCGTCGGGACGGCGAGCGCGCCACAGAAACATGCTCGACTTTGAAGAAATGAGCTGCAAAATTATTTTGCCAAAATATTCACTTCCAACTAGGATAAACCCACAATTTATTGTATTCAGTCTTGCGTCTTTTGGTTCAGCCAATCATCGTATCGTTTTCAATGAGCGGTGCCAATTTACACTTTTTGGAAACATGATGCTGCGGCGAGCAGTAACGCAGATCGCCCGCGCGACGGCCCCTGGCCGTGGCTACGGTGTGCGCTTTGCCACGATCAATGGTATGATCCAGCCCAACACCTGGCTTTTAAGTCTCCTCATACATATATCACGGCTAACTTTTAAGAATGACTATAATACACAGGCAACCAAGTGCGCACAGGCATGGCTCTTGAGATCGACGGGAAAATATACCGCGTGGGCAAGAACCAGCATGTGAAACCTGGCAAGGGCGGAGCTTACGTCCAGGTGTGTAAGATAACAGACTTTTGGAGTAGATATTCGCTCTGAAGAAGACTTGTTATACGTATGCCAACTGCAGGCGGAGCTCAAGGAGATCAAGACCGGATCCAAGATGAACCGCCGCTTCCGCGCCGCTGAGAGCGTGAACAAGGCGCCGCTTGGTCCGGACGAACCGTTCCAGTTCTTGTACTACAACGGAGCCCACTTGGTCATCATGCACAACGGGACCTTCGAGCAGGTTGCTGTAAATTGGTGCTTGAAGCTGTTGGATCTGGAGAATAACGCTGTGGTTGATGTGGGCAGATGGAGATCGAGCGCGACTTGTTTTCGGGTCGACAACTGGACTTCCTTCAAGAGGGTATGACACTGTCGTTGCAGATCATTGAGGGTGACGTGCTGTGGGCCAATATGCCCGAATACGTGACGCTCGAAGTGACGGTGCGTGAAGAGTATCTCGTTTGTTTCTGGGCACCTTCTCAGTGGCTGTCTCTGACGTTTCGATAACGTTTATCTGTTTCTCTCCAGAAAACCACCCCGAAAGGTGTGGCGGATACGGCACTGAGCGTCAAGGACGCGACGCTAGAGAATGGCGCTGTGGTCAAGGTACCGCTCTTCATCGAAATCGGCAACAAGGTCAAGGTGTCCACGGAGGACGGAGTGTACGTTGACAAGCTGTAGCAATCGCTTACTAGCAGAAGAGACGTCTACGTCGTCACAACTACCCAACCATTGAAAAATGATGTGTCTTCGTGGACACCTTTTGGGCTACCGTAATTGACGAGACCTCCCACTTGACAGTTTTCTCGCCGCCGAAAGAGTTAAATGGCAAGACTTTCTGTATCGTGACCAGCAGCACAGTGCTGACCTAGCAGTATGAGCCACAGTGACCGTCATTCAGTCCGTAATAGTGCAAACTCAACGGCCGAGATAGAATCTTTAAGCCACACGCTGTGAAACCGTGAGTATCATCACGTCCTCGGCCTCGCCACCAATCATTGAAGATCGTAGCGGTTTCATCAAGTGCCATCGCATTCTGAGCATGCGACGGCAACTCAGCTTAGTGTCCGGTCCAAGTCAAGCTTGGCGGAAGAGGAACGTCTCACCTTATGCCGTTAGTCGAGGAGGATCTCGAAGCTCATCGCGCGTCGTGCTCGAGGTGAGAAAATCGGCTTCATTGCTGATCCCGGTCGACTGGCTGTGCACGGCCTGAGTCGAGCGCGGGACTCAACCCCGCGACCTTTTACAGTACGCGGCGCACGTCTATTATAACGAACGTCATTCATCCTTTTGTCCAGTCCTCCACACTTCAGCTTCAGCATGGCCAATTCTACCGATAAACCTGCGCCGGCTTTGGTCGAGCACCACCACCAGCCCACAGGCGACTGCCCGCACGCCGTAGCCTCGACGATCATCCAGCGCCACCGCGACAACCGTCAGCGATTCGACTCGGCCGACTACGAGATGGCGCAGCGTGCGTCGGGGCCGTGCGCCGGATGCACGTGTGGCAAATGCGCGCCGTCGGACGGAAATGAACTAGAGCGAGAACCGGAGCCTGGCACGGCAGAAGCTCGCGAGCAGCTTCGGTGTCTGCGAATGCAGCGCTTCGACTCGGCCGACTGGGCCCTACAGGCTCAGCGCGCGCAGCAGAATCCGCAGACGGACTCTCCGGCAACTGAACCCGCGAACGTCGCGCAGATGCTCATGGATCGACATGCGCTCAAAACGTGTGCGTTCGTAGGTCCCGCTCCTGTCAAGGGTGACGAGCGCAACACCAGCAAGGCATAGGCCAAGGACAGAGCACCTCGGTGAGGTAGCTTACTTCGAAGTACATGTAATAAACAGCAAACCTTATCAACGTCCTTTGGCTCGGTTAATAAGTCGCTGGATCATCTGCGCCAAGTTAGAACAGTTGCGGTCCGCGTATAATACTTCGTTTACTCAGTTCAAACACGCCACTACTGTGGGATTATTTTCTTATATTTATTTTTTTTTATTTATGCCTTCTACAGAATGAAAATGAAAAATGTGGGTTCGTTTCAACTTTTCATTATTTCTTCAATTAATCTGTAAGTACACATTTTATAATTTTTATTTTGGAAGTGTTATCCAGTTTAATGAAGAACAGATGAGGAATTTCGAAGGAAAGTGGGAGCGGGAAGATTCATGTTGCGAGACCCCCG